AAAAAAAAATAAAATAAAATTAAAACAAGAGAACAGCATTTTGGAAACATTTATCAAACATTGCAATTCAAGTCAAATCAAAATTCACACCGTTTTACATAAAGGATTTCTTTTTAAATCATAATGTCTTATGTGCTACATATGGAGAGAAATAATATATGTTTATATATTTATATATATATTTTTTATTTACACACAGGTAGTTAAAAAAAAAAAAAAAGGAGCAAAAAAGTAAATTAAACCTAATTGCACACTGCTACATCGACTGCTTTTAGAGGCAGTAACTTTTAATTAAGTGCCAAAAAAAATTTAGTGTTTCTATTCAGTGCTTCAACAGCGTCCTCCCCAATCTTCAGGAAGGTTGATATGTTTCTGATGCTGTGTAGATCCTCTTCCAAAAAAACAAAACAACCCCCCCCCACAAAACAAAACACTAGACTAAAAGCAAACAAACAAAAGAAATTACAAAAAAAACCCCAAAACAAACAAAAAAACAACAACAACAAAAAAAACAACAACAACAAAAACAACCCTAAAACAAAACCAAAAAACAAACCAGCCAACACTGAGGTTTCTCCATGTTAAACAAGGAGGGGGGAGGCATTCATCTTCAGTTCTGTGGGACAAAACAGATGAAAGGAGAAAGAAAAAAAGAAGCATAAGAGGTTGCAATGATGACACTAATGTGGGCATTGTGCAACAATTTCTGCAAACAAATAAATGAATAAATAAAATAAAATTACTTAGTGTGGTCTATGGGGTAAACCTCAGAGCAGCAGGAGACCTGAATGAACTAATCCGTTTTGTACATGTATTAATACATAAATACATAAAGACCTACCTGAGGGAGAAAAAAACAACAACAAAAAAACAAAAAAACAAAAAAAAAAACTGGTATAGTTTTACATTAGCACCCCTATTTAACCATGAAAAGATCTGAAAATGCCTATGAGACAGAATAGTTTGAGGGTATTTTTTGATTTCTACAATTAAAAAAAATAGAAATAAATAAAATGCATTAAATAGAAGTGACCACCCCCCAGCTTTGACAGTTGACATCCTGCCATAACAATGCTGATTTCATGCCTATTGGACGTCGCCCTGGCCAATACACACACCCACACACTTGCTTTCAGACCTGCACGACTCTTCTGCACACTCTCCACCGGCAGGGACAGATGTGTGTTGTAACGTTAGGGTGCAACGCGTGTGCAGCACTGCACAGAGACCAGCCCCTTCCCGTCCCTGCTCTGCTCTCAGTTGCTGACGTGTTACACTACTACACTGTTGTTCAGCACTTGTTGTTTACAAGTTTCGACGGAAACTCAACGGACTCACCGTGTCAGACAGCGGTTAAATGTTAAAGATCTTTAAAATGTACAGGCATTATTTGTTTGTTTGTTTTTCCCTTCCCCTGTTTCACCTCGATCGCAGTGTATCGACAGAGCTCTCTGTGTCCGAGTGGAAAATTAAAAACCAAAAAAAACAACAACCCAAAAAACAAACAAAAACAAACAAAAAAACCCAACAACCTTAAGAACCCCTTTTACTCCCTTACGTTTCTGTCCCCGCTCATTAATGAATGAGACAGACTGACAGCACATTTGAAGGGCGTGCACAAAAAGTATGCAGACTGTCAAAGCTGTGCAACATCCAAATCTTATTTAAGTGAACTGAAAGGGTGTTTAAGCTGAATTAGAATGCCTCCTAATGGTTTAAAAGCGGTATCAATTTTTTTAGTAAACGAATAACCAGATGTTTTTGCACATTTACTCGTTTTCCAAAGGTACCCCCCCAGTTGGGAGATTGAGTAGCCAGTAAACAGCCTACTGTAGTTACACTATGCACAGACTTTTTTTTTTTGTTAAGAAATCTTTGCTTTTCCTTAAGGGAAAAAAATATGATTAAAAAAGGAAAAATATTGCATGAACAGTCTTTACCTTTTCTCACGTTTTCCTCTTGGGACTGGTCTTTCTGGGCGTGTGCTCTGCAGAGTGACTCCGACTTGGACAACTAACATCTGAGCTGCTGTGTGACCTCTTGCTCGGGACAGGGGAGTCTGCAAAAAGCAAAAAATAAAAATAAAATTTCGTAATTTCTTAAAAAAAAATAGTGGTATAGTGTTGCAGGCAAACCCCACTCTTTACAGTGCTTTTTTGGGGCCATGATTTTCAAAATTTTATTTTCGGTGCACAGATCAATACGCGATCAGCTGCGTTGCTCAGAAACAACTGCGATGTAAACGGGTTAAACTGGAGCGTATGTAGTACCGTGACACGCGTGTCTTTTCCTCAGCGCTGTACACTGTTCCGTGCACTCCATTTGCCCGTCAGCCCTGTCGGGATCTTCGCTCGGAGGCACCACAACACAACTGTGATTCCCGTTAAGATCCACATTGTTATTTCCAGTGGAGCAGACGCCTTTCTTTGTAAGCGGCTGCCGAGTGTAGAAGCCCGGCAGGTCTCTGCAATCCACTAGTTTCCACTCGAACCTGGAGTTGGCCCGCGGCGTGTCAGTGGCGAAGTCGAAGCCCCAGTGGTCGGAGGCGCGCTCTTCCAACTCCCGCAAATGTCCCTTTAAATCCCTCTTTAACTCTTCGTGATCCACCGAGCCGAAGAGGCTCCTGCAGGCTGACGGTTTTGGGTGTTCAGACAGCCGTGAGTCCGTCCGCTCCAGCGTCGGGCTCCCGTTTGAAAGTCGAACATCTGACATTTTTCTCCAGCGAAACACGCAATTTTTTAAAACAGCCCGGAGCGTCCAGTTTTTCACGAGGAGGGAAAAAACAAACAAACAAAAAGGCAGCACACACACACAACACTCAAAAACAACAGTTATCTCCTCGTCGCTGAGAAAGCTCCAAAACAAGCGTAAAACGCGTTATGCCATGCATACGTCGGAACGCAGACGCGAACAGCCGCCGTGTTGTGAAGCCCTGCGTAGTCTCATCAAAACAAAGTGCTCAGGAACGGAAGGCGCTCTGTCAATTTTGTCCCGTAGCGAGAGAAACTGCAGACAACCCTTCTCTTTCGCCCAATATGGCGAAAGGTTGATGTGGGGGTAGGGGCATGATTGACATGCTGAGCTATTTAAATTCCCGAATAGGTCGCTCATTGGTCAGAGTTTTTAAGCCCGCCTACTTTTCTTAAGGTGGACCGGCTAAATCAAGCCGCTCTGATTTCTTTTTTTCTCTTTTTCCCTTAAAACAAAAAATATCAGCGTGTGAGTGTCATGTATATATGTAACTCTGTATTTAACGTATAATAAATAACTGTGAGTGGGGGAAGAGGATGGAGGAAAAAAAGGTCATTGATAATAAATGTTGTCATGGCTGTGCCAAATAAGAAAAATTATAATCTTTGAAATAAAAAAATAGCATAACAAATCATTCCTAACAGGTGCAGAACAACTAACTTAAAACAAAAAAAGAAACAAAAAAATTGTGCCAATTTGGCTAATGTGTATCTTTATGACATGCCATTTCCACCAATTATCTGCACCTCAGTGGTTAAGGTCAAGGTCAGCACACATCAGACTGTCCACACTGCCACCAGAACCCAGAGCAAAAAACAAAACAAAACAAAAAACACAGTGCTAAAAAAACCACACAGTATCAGAAGTCAGCAAATTTAGATTTTTTTTTTAAAAAAAGAAGAAGCCAAAAGTACTCAATGCTAAAGTTTTTTCCTCGACACCTCAGGAACAAACTTGGCAAGTTCGCACAAATCCCTAGCGTCATCCAAATCCCATTAGAAATTACCAATAAAAAAAGAAAAATATGGAAAATTTTAATTTTATGTTTTTAGCCCTAATCTGGAAAAAAGTAGGCAGGGTGTGCAAAAGTGCAAAGCAGTGATTTCTAAATTTACACTGACTCTCATATTGAGGACACTAGATTAAATGTTTTGATCATTACCTGCAAGGAGGAGGGATCTGTTAGAAAAAAAAAACAGTAATCTGCTAAAAATGAGCAGATGTGTTGCTTTCAACACAAGTCAGGTCAACAATAATGTACAAATCCCTGCTTTGAATTTAATTTGAAATTAATAGTCCAAACTTCTTTGTTTCTTATTTAAGGCTCTATTTAAAAATGTGATCTTCAAGCAAAAGTACTGTTTGTTTTTAAATTTATCAAGCTTTTTTTTCCAGCTTCTTTTTCTTTATCGTCCAAGTTTTACACTTTTCCACTGAAGGGGAAAACAGAAAAAAAACAAAACAAAACAAAAAAACCAAAACAAGAGCGATGTCAAAAAAGATGCTCGCCTCAGGTTCTGATCAAGATTAAACAAATCAGATTTGCTTAAAATAGAAGCAAGCAACCTGCAAGAAATGATGCAATTTAATTTTACTGTGAGCAATTATTTACTTAAGAGGTCACAGCAGGCTATGTGCTGCAGCTGTGGCTGCTGGCTGGCCACCATTAATTCTGGGGCAATGATGCCCCCTAGTGGTCACCACACCGCCTCTCAATGTCCATACAAAGTAAGCAGGAAGCAATCGTGATATCAAACGCTTTTAATAGAATGGTTTTAAATAAACATTTAATCTGTACATACACATATTTATATCCAAAAAAAGGGGAAAATGATCCTTCCTGACTCTGCTGAGGTGTAGTCGCCTACCTTCCCAGTTAGTCCATTATAACATAGTGGTCTCCTGCTTGATAAGGCACCGTCAGAGGCTAAGCCACTTGATAATGTAGAAGTTCTTCTTGCCCACTCTGAGCAGCGTGAGTCCATTAGCCAGGATGTGGAGTTTGGGGATCAGTACCTGCTCCGGGTTGTCTGTACGTGTGTGGTTGATCCACACAGCTCCATCTGAAACCATTTGATACCTGCACACAAACATTTACACCATCAGTTAGGACAGGGTTTCATCTTTAAAAAGAAAATCTAAAAGTCATGTGAAAAAGAAAGTACACCCTGTATTCTTCCATAGGAATTTAGTGAGTGAGGAGGATCCAGGTGCTGCTAATCAAATGGACTTAACTGATCTACAAGTGTGAGCACCTCTATAAAGGTTTTGGCAGTTTACTGGTCTGAGGCATTCGGGCACATGTTAACATAGTGCCAAGGAGGAAAGACAGCAGTGGCTTTAACAAGGTCATAAGGTCATTTCAAAATAATTTCAACTCCATCTCTGTACAGTCAGAATGATTATTCACAACTCGGAAACATTCAAGGGAGCTATCAATCCTCAGATAAGTGCACATCCCAGCAAATTCAGCCCAAGGTCAGACTATGCAATGTTCGGAGAAACTCCAAAAAACCCAAGAGATACATCACAGACAGTAGAGGCCTTTGTTAGCATTTTTAAATGCGGAAGTTCATGATAGTACAATTAGAAAAGAGTTAACAAGTCTTATTTGGAAGGGTTACCAGAAGAAAGCCTCCTCTCTCCTTAAAAAACAAGCAAGCTGTCCTTTGAATAAACAAGACCAATGTGGATATATACTTGACCTTCACATTTGGAGTCAACCAAATACAGCAAATCACAAACACCTCATACTGACTGTCAAGCACGGCGGTGGAGGGCTGATGATTTGGGTTCGTTTTGCAGCTTTGCATGGATCGGGTAGTAGCCAGAAGAAGGAAACAACATACTTTTCAACAACATTTTTGAAAATACGTTAATCTGATCATGGCATTTTTATGCTGGTAAGCTATAATTATGACACGTTTAACTCTTTACATGTTGCAGGGCTTTTGCTACATTATACACCTTAGATGTGGCAGTTATCTTGGCTGTAACTACATGACAGCAGAGCTAGAATCAAAGAAAACGTTTTTGTTTTCTACAAAAGAAGCTTTTTGAAATGTGGCGGCGTGAATGTGACTGGTTGCTATCGTTGCACTAAAGGCACACATCAAACTGTTACATGGTTACAGGCTGTAGGGGCAGCTGCAACCCGGCTAACACAAGCAAGACCTTTATGCTATTTTTTTTTCAGGAAACCAGCTTATGAAATTTGACTGCATGATCGTGACTGGGTGTTATCGTTACACCTCGGACACAAAGAAGTTGTTGTGGCTACCTGTGAGCGGTATCAGTGAAGAACAAAGAGACCACAAACTCCTGCACCTGCTGCAAAAAAAACACTACTCTTCAGCACTTGTGTTCAAAAGCAGCGGTCCCCAACCTTTTTTGCGCCACGGACCAGTTTCTGCCCGACAATATTTTCATGGACCGGCCTTTAAGGTGTCGCGGATAAATACAACAAAATAAAACTAGTACCGGTACCGAAAAAAAGAAAATTTATTCATAACACACGTGAAAAGACCAAGGAAAACCGAGTAAACGATGAAAACGATAACAAAATAATGCTGAAACCGATTAAAAACCCTGAAAACTATACATTTCACACCTGAGCCTCAACTCTCGCGGCCCGTTACCAAACGACTCACGGACCGGTACCGGTCCGAGGCCCGGGGGTTGGGGACCGCTGTTCTACAGGATAGAAATAAACAAGATGTAACAGTCAACTCAAAAAGGTTCAGATGTTTTTCATTGAAGATTTTAGCTTCATTTACTAAAAAATAATTTGGTTAACAAAATTCAGCGGGCTGCATGCTGAATTTAGAGGATAGAAACAAAGTATCAATCTTATCTTGCTACTCTCGTTCTGATACAAATACCAACTTTGGTATCGGTGCTATCAACATTTGGATCAATCCCCCCACCTCTATTACCCAGAATGTGTAACTGCATTACACACCTTACACAAAAGATTACACTGTGGATCTCTGGGTGCATGTATGCTCACACCAACAAGCTCTATCAAAGCACTACATACCACTCTGGTACCGCATTTAGATAAAGGAGAACTGGGGTGCTTACCCTCTGGGACCCTCAGGGATGGCGCCGACCTTGCGGCAGGCATCTATAACAGTTGTCCCCGGCTCCAGCAGCAGCTCATGGAAAGGTGCCTCCCTGAAGAGTTCCTGAAGCTCCTCATCACTCATTTCCTCCAAGGCTTGCACGCTGCTGTGATAAAGTGCATTGGTGCATCTGCAATGACGACATTAAATATGACCATTCTGTCCACATGGAAGACAGAGGACATGGGCAGCCACAGCAAACAGAGACTACAGCAATGAGCACTGTATAGTTAAGAATTTGGAATCTTCCTCTTACTGTACTGCAGGTATAAAATTTTCCACTTTTTGGCAGAGCATAATCCTGCTGTTCTAAACACAATGCACTTTGACTCTAATAAGTTACAACGTAAAAGAGCTGTAGATGAGGATTCAAGAAAATAAAATGTATAATTTAGGGGAATAAACACACAGACGATCAATTCTTACCTCTTTGCAGTCTCCAAGCCCTCCTTTCCATGCACCAGTTTTGTCACTTCAGCAGCCAGTCTTTTGTGGGCGAGGCGTTTACTTGGATCTTCTCTCTGTTGCTCCATCAGTTTCTCTACCTCTGCCAAAGGCAGAAAGGTGAACAACCTCAGATACCTACGAAAAAAAACAGCCCACACAGTACACCTCAGCATCCTATGACTGTGCACCGAATACTTACTTTCGGATAAAAACAGGGTTGCGATGAGATGTTTCTGGATATTGCACTTTCATTAAAACTCAACAAACATGATCAGCCTTCACTTCCACATACCCTTCCACACTGGCATCAGGCTGCCTGAGAAAGAACTGGTAGAGTTCAAAGGGTGACGTCTTATCTCTGTTGAGCCACACTGCATTGCCTGCAGTTTTCCCCAGCTTGTCCCCGACAGTGCTGGTAACTAACGGGATGGTCAGGCCGTACACCTCCTCGCCGCTTACTCTGGAGAAAAATAAAGTTTTCAGTGTTTCAAGGCAGCCTTCAGGGTAAATCTGGCAGGCATGTGTGTGTTTTGGTTGGTAGAGAGAACAGAAAAAAAAAAAAAACAACCCAAAAACATATTGGTGGTATAATTGGGTGTAGAACTTAATGTCTCAAAACAATTTGATGTATGTTCATCTAATGATCAAGAATATATAGTGAATTTGCAGATTTTATAATGGAGTATGACATTATACTACATGCAGGGTTTATCCACACGAAAATAGCCTAGTCCTGTTTCAAAGGGTGGTTGTGCTATGTTGGGATGAGCATTGTACATGTGTATTTACTTGGACCCAGACAACGAAGACCTTGGATGAGAAGAGAATGATTTCTAAATTAGATTGTGGATGTAACAGAGAGCCAATGAAGACAGGCCAAGATGGGAGAAATATACCTCTGTCTTTCTAGTCCCTGTCAGTACTCTCACTACAGCATATTGGATCGACTGCAGGCTTTTCAGGGACTGGTAATTATGAATTAATTAGCCCAGTACTGTAACAGTAGTGGGCTTAGAAAAACATTTACTTGTGAATGTACTCATGGCCAGACATC